TGATTTATTTCATGAATTTAACAGTTATAAAATCGGTTTGAATATCACCAGTATGACCTGATTCACTGATGTCGGTCATGAAATCGATGTGAATATCATTTGTATGACCAGAATGATCGTGTTTCGACCTATAAACAAAATGATGTCATTTTACTGAAATTAATTAATAAAAAAATTTGTGAGGTATTTCATGAAGTTAAACGTTAATTTTTAATGTTAGTTGTTGGATTCAAGTATAAAAGTTTGGGTGTTGACATTAAATGTTATATTTTTTTTATCAGAACCTGTACCAGATTTTATAATGTAACCCCGTGAGGGTAATTAAGATTGATTGCACGGCCTGAAGTAACTACCTCATCTTGAGCCAAGTATAACTCAAGACGGCGTTGCTAATGTAGTGGTCGATCAAGGTCGTATTGCACGGTTTCGATAGCCTAGGTTACTTCTCACTTCGTAGTTATCTAATCGTTTGGTTTACGGTTGTTTTGGAGATCATATGGAAACTACTGGTGGAGAAAGCAAAGATAAAAACATGTACTTCGGGGTTCCACCCTCGCCCTAGGTCTATGTCTATCATGCAAATGGTTTAGATTGTAGAGTTTGTGGTAATAAGGCGCGGGACTCACTAAAGTGGAGTGATAACACCTAAATTGATGTTATTTACCCCTCATAATAAGGTTTGTCTCGTGCCAATTCATGTGCATAATTGTTTGAACAGTGTCAATTGCATCCCTATTTCCTTCCTATTTGATTATATCGTGATTTTAGGATGCTTTAGACAACACATGCGAATTAGGTACAAAATAAGGTCACAAGTGTAGCAAAAGGGACTGAAAACTGAAGATCGCAGCCTGAAGCCAGAGATCACAACCAAGAACCATGCTTGCGAAGACAAGCCAAAGAATGTGGCTTGGAAGCTTAAGATCGCGATCGCGATCTGGAGGGTTCCTGGGCGCGAACTTCGTGAGGAAGTAGCCAAGGAGAAACAAAGAGTTTCCCCAGGCAGACCACGGTCGAAGCACAAACTTACCGCGAGGAAGTTTGCGGCCGCGACTCGTGGATTGCGACCTTTGCCCACGAACTCCTTGTCCTCGAAGGCAGAAATGGCAGCATCTTAAGATTGAGGCCTCCATGCAGAATCGCACCCGCGATCTCGACCCTTCCTGCCCGTCATCTTCTATGTCCTTTTATGCCTATAAATAGAAGAACCTTTCTCCCCATTCAAGAGAGCTCATTTTGAGATAGAATTTTTTGGTTTTAGAGATAGAGAAGAGAGTAGCTGAAGGAAGGAGAAGGCGAGAAGGAGAATGAGCTAGAAGAAGAGGAGCCATCTTCCTCAACATCAAGTCTTCCTCCACCTATTCTATGTATCTTCTTCACTCCTTTATGGAGTGGTCCTCTAAGGTACTAAGGGTTCTAAACCTCAAACTCTAGTGTCAAGGTTACTATGTATGTATGGATATTTTAGGGTCTTAATGAATGAATGTTTATCTAGTCGATTCTTATGCTTTCCTAGCTTTGATTGTGTTTGGGTAAGTCGCCCTAATCTTCTCTACTAGCCTACTTGAGCTACTACGTTGGGTATGGAGTTTTAGGGTTAGAAGGCTATGCGCCATCAAGCAAATTCGGGTCGTTTGCTTCATGGATTTGAAAAATGAGGGTTTTGGTAAAACCTGGGTTTTGGAAAACCATGGATATATGATGGATTTGGTGGCATTATGGATTTGAACAAGTCTATTGTTTGCTTGATGGATTTGATTATGGACTTTGTTTGATTAGATTTGTGGATATTAAATACAAATTACCTAGTTACCCTTATTTAATTATATTTCGATATTCTAATCCAAATCTTTAATTTAAAACTAATCCAAAACATAGAAAGAAATTTCAAACTCTTTACCACTATGTGGATTAATAATTCAACTACAAATATAGAAATGTATTACAATTTGGCACTAATTAACAATTCATCTAATAATGTACGCAATATTATGTATCAATTGCAGCCAATTGCTCGCTTTATTGCTACAACTCATCATCTTCTTGCTAACTCACCGATGTGGAATCCGACAATCAATCAAATAATAATGTACAAGATGAGCATAAAGTGTTTCTAGGTGAATCTAACAAATCACATATACATTCATATTTAAATAAAATACGATATTACAAAATGAAATGATAAATTCTCATATTTATAAAATACGAAATTATAAAAGTTTACAGTTGCATGACCATTGAATTAAAGTAGGACAAATTTATAATTAAAGAAATAATTAAGGGTAGAATGGTAATTTACCATCATGGATTTTAATCCATCACCCAAATCCCACCTCAAGAGGTGGAACTTCCAAGTCCGTGGGGTCCACGGATTTGGAACCCCAAAAGAGGTGGGCCCCACAAATTCCATCTCCCTAATTCCCTAAGGCAAACGATGGATTTCGGTTCAAGTCCATGATGGATATATTTCCATGACCAAATCCATCACCAAAATCCTCAAGCAAACGACCCCTTAGGTTAGATGTATGAATATGATCCTATAGATGGGTAGTACTCATTGAAATAGGAATGTCTTCATAGAGGGAACCTAGGATGAAACCTCGGTGTGGACAGATGGTAGTACGCATTGAAAGGAGCTACGAGCTTAATGCCCCAGATATGATAGCCTAGATCAAGGTGACTATAAATGGGTTTAGGGGAGGCGTATTTGGAGCTGTGTGGATAACCACGAAAGCCCACAGAAAAGATCTCACTCACCACATTCGACAAACCCTAAGTATCTATACATTGCATAGTAGTCCTAAGCTCGGGTGAGGGATAGTTCCCTGAAGTACCTACTTTTATCTTTATTTTTCCTCTTAACTAGTAGTTCATTCATATCCTCAAAAACAAACTCTTCAACCGATTGGTTAGATAACAACAACGTGAGAGGTAGGCTAGGGTACCAGGACCTGAATGAATATGACATTGATTGCCATTATACGAAAATGCCATTTTAGGTTAAACTTGGCCTAGGATAGGGTAGTTGTTGACACGTGTTAACCATTGACAATAGCTTTCACGAATGAAATGGAGCTTGCATCGGTGCTTGCCCTTGAAAACCAGTAAGTTTCCTATCCGATGGTGAAGACCATATGAAATTAGGATGATTCCTCCATCACGGGTTATAGGTAGCACTATATGGATAGTTGCCCCTTTGTTGGCCTCCAACAAAGTTAGCTTGCTCATGTTCAGTCGATGCTTCTACCATTGCCTTGCAATCTTCTAAATTATGATGATATCACCGCACCAATCATATTTCATCAATTTTTTGCTATTGATATTCATGGTTGATGCAACAAAATCAATCCTTTATTGTCAATTGTTGAAGATGAGTAGTCAACGAGGATGGTTCTTCAATTTGTAGCACACTACCCTTCATTTTACTCTTTCCTCGCCTTCTATCACCCCCAATCATAGCTATTGAGAGTCATATTTTCAATTAGAATTTGCAATTCACCTACTTCTTTGTTTCGAATAGCTCCTAGCTAGCAACATCAATCAAATTCCGGGACTCATGAGTTAGCCCATTATACAAGCTTTCCACTTGTAGCCAATCGGCTATGCCGTGGTGTGGGCACTTGGGTAGAAGAGACGTGAATCTTTCCCAAGCTTCAAATAATGGCTCGTCTTCCTCTTGTATGAAAGTTTGTATTTAACTTATCATCAATGTCATCTTTGAAGGTGGGATGTATCTTGCGAAGAACTTATCACACAAATCCGCCCAAGAGTTCAACCCACTACTTTTCCACTCCACCCAAGGTAAAAGGGAAAAGCCTTAGTCTAATAAACTCTTGAGGGATCCCGTTTACTTTGATACCATCTGTAAGCTCATAACATGTTTTGATATGAGCATGTGCATCTTCATTCATCAACCCTTTGAATTGAACCGCATTCTGAAGCATAGTAAGCATCCCTGGTTTGATATCATAATTGTTGTTGGGCATAGTTGGGTGAATAATAGGAGATTGCAACTTCTCCACACTAGGACTCGAAAATGACCCCATCGTGCTCGACCTTGGTTGAGGTTGAAGTTGAGGTTGCGGTTGTGGTTGAGGTCGAAGTGGTTATTGATCCATCATCGGTTGAGTTCGAAGTCTTGTAATTCTTCTAAGAACTCTAAGGGTTTTCTCAATCTTCGCATCACGAGATACTATCTCAAGAGATTCTCTCCTTTGCATACAAATCAACTTCAAAACTAAAACTCAAATGGAAAGTGCCGGTGGAGAAAGCAAAGATAAAAGCAGGTACTTCGGGGTTCCACTCTCGCCCTAGGTCTAGGTCTATCATGCAAATGGTTTAGAGTTCCGGGTTTGCAGGTAATAAGGTGCAAGGCTCACTAAATTGGGGATTAGCTCAATGGTCATGAAACTAATCTCTTTCCTAGCACAATTCCTTGGCCCAATGTCACATCGATCAAGTTCAACATACTAGGGATGCGTTCTAGACCCTTTAAATAAGTTTAAACTATTTTCACACTAGTTCGACATATCGATGGTCACGCACGCATCGCTCTAGCATTGCTTAGGAAGGCCAACCGATTGGCAGGGGATGGTCATCTTGTCCACCAATCGGTTCCCTAGGTTTTTACATCCATGATCCATCAATCCTAATTAGCATTAGGCGCTCAAATCCATTCTAGATCATAAACTCCTAAGTGGTACGCTATATGAAAAGGGTTGGATAGACAAGACAATGCATAACTGATCAAAGATGAAGCATATAATCACAGCAAACAATAAGCTACTCTTCTATGCCTCGCCATTATGTTCGGTTTGATGAGATGATATCAGAATCACAAGCAGTTGTTACATACTTGGAGCCTGCGGGTGTTCGCGACCATGAGGTGAAAGCATTGAGGGAGAAACTCCCGGTTTCATGTGGGATATTCAGGATCAGCGAAAGGACTTAGCAGGATTGATCTGTGGCGGTTCTGGTTTCGTGTTAGGTACCAGCCGACCATGTCGTGCTACAAGATATGCCCACGGGAAGGGGAGGTATGGGCAATGCACAAAGATTGGAATGCGAGATGGGGAGTGTCGGACTATGAAAGGAGTCGATGTATGATTGTTCGAGTCGAGTCAAGTGCTGAAGAAGGGAGTAATGGGATCACTGTGAGTAGGCTGAGGGAGGTAGAAGGTTGCTTGACATTGTTCTGTAAGCTGAAGCAAGATGGATTCGATATGGTTCATGTAGTTCCAAATGCAAATATGCTTTGCTTTTCTCATCGCATTCCTGCATTCAGGGTTCCGGGGATCAAACGTTATGGGATACCAGAGGACTCCTGGCACCTGGAACCAAATGCCTTGCCTCTTACAATTGGTAACTGATCTTCAGTGTCGTAGTTGCTAATGTCAGATCGATGGAGGGATATTGTTAGTGCGTTGGTGGAGTAGTTATGTTACGGGTAATGTCTATTTTTTACCCAAACCTTTTTCAGATTCTTTTATTTTAACCAAATCTATTGAATTCCTAAAAATCATCCAAACGTTAACTCTCCGTCAACTTTTCTGTTTGTAATGTTGACTAAGTATGACCATAATGATTTTAATTCCTACGTGGCGGTCAGAATACCATCATTTACTATTTTTAATAAAAAGATTATCAAAAAACAAAACAAAATCTCACCTCTCACGTGGACGAAATAAGTAACGGTAACAGAATGAATGCCCAGACTTTGATAAATTATAATACGTTTGGATAATAAATAGAATTTCTATAGGTTTGGTTAAAATAAAAGAATCTGAAAAAGGTTTGGGTAAAAAATAGACATTACCCTTATGTTACCATAGAAGTAATAGTTTGGAATATGATCAGAGTCCAACGTTGGTGTAGTCAGTTGCTAAAGACAGGATTTGGTTATTATGTTTGCTTTCATTTAGTAGGGATGGGAGTTGATTGAAATGTAATCAAATTGAAGTCAATTGCAGCAGTAACACTGTAGTTCTGGTTACTTGACATGGCTGGCTAACTGTCAATTTATGTTGCTCAACAGGGCAGTAAATAACCTTGAAAACGTTGATTTTAAACGTTGCATTCACGAGTCCCTGTGATTCGATGAGGAAAGATGGAGAGCATTGTTATGAAAAAAAACAAAAGTTAACAAATTGACCTTGTTTACCAACTTATCCAAATCCCTTCATCCCAAAATTTTGTAACAGAAAACCCGACAGCGCAACATGTAGAGATGACAAACTCCTCACTGCCAAATGTGAATTGCCGATCGAATGTCCACTACAATCCTTTGCAAGCTCATTCTTTCCCTACCTTCGGTTACAATAGCAAGTTGGCATTGCTCATTTTCCCCACCACCTACTGATGAGACCTTTCTTTTTCATCCTGGTCTCTAGGGATGGGAAATCAATGTATTCATACGCAAGATCTCGAATGATTGGATTTCTAGCAATGGATTGGAAAGGTGGAGGGAAGGCTTCGATGCGTGGATGCTGAGCTGGCTTCACATTTGGATCAGCAAGAGCAGACTCATAGGCGTCAAGCTTCTGAACAAGGAACTTCTGCAGATAACAAGCATTCATTCCATCATCACTGTCAACAGTTGTCCAAATGCGACAGTATAATGGTGGACAATAAGATGGCAAAGCAGAAGTTAGTTACCAAGTTGGTAGTCCCGCTCAATGATAAAGCAGAGACTCTAGCTGAGAGATTTTCTGGAACCTTCTCTTCCTCCATAATCCCTAGGGCATGCTCTATGCAACTACTGGATCTGCACTCACTGTATAAACCCTTCAGCTCCTTCATCATCACCTGTCACACAAAAAAACATCCAAAAGAAATTGAAGCCAACAAGGTTAACGCACAATGCCAGGAAGGTAGAGTAAGAGACTATCAACTAAAATCTGAGCAACATAGAGAATGGCCAAAGCTTGGGTTTCCCTTTTCGGATTTTCCCAAAACCAAAGTACCTCATCTTTCTCATTCAGATCTTGATAATTCTTCAAGGCCTTCTCTGCAAGGGATTGGGCATGGGAGAACAGAGCATACGCTTCTGCTCTTTTACCAGCTATGCTGTAAGACTTTGCCAAGAAGAAACATCTGCAGAGAAGTAGCCATGCACATAAATCAGAGATAAGTAAAACTGAACGGGGTGAGAAACACAAGAACCACAACTAGCAGCTTTACCAAGACTTCCACAGAAAAGTGAAGAATATACAACAGGCAGAACAGCATAAGACACCATTAAAGCAAAAAGAGAAGAGGAGACATCGTAACAAGGATATTCAACCAAACAACCTTCCGACATTTGTGTAAGGAAGAACATTGCAGGAGAGGTGAATATAGATCTGAAAGAGACAGCCTTACAGTATAGCAGCCATGACATGGAAAAATTAATGCACATGTATACTTGCAAATATGATTCCCACTGACAACTGTAAATGAGTCGACAATAACCCATTTCAGACCTTTCAGCACGGAAAGCTAAACGTCTGCGTTCACATTCTTCAGCAAATGCAACTTCTTCAGCTGTTCTCTCTTTCCGTGAGCTCACCAACTCGGAAAGAGCAAGTGTATTCTGTTAGGCAAGTTAAGGAAAAAGTTAGTCACCTCTTAACTGAAAGAGTCTGTTGCCTACCACAAGGGGAAAATCTAAACTGAAACCGAAATAAAGGGATATGTTTCCACCTCTAATAACAGATCATAAAGGCGAACAAGCTCTTCTGGCTTGGTAACTTTCTCATTTTTGTCATCACGGCGCTTGGCAAGCTTACTCTTAGCAATAGTAACCAAAAGACGGTCACGCTCTGTTGTTCTCAGTCCTAATACAGCTGTGACAGCATCATGAAGGCCACTCAAGTCATCTTTCACAGGCTCAGCATTTCCTGCACTAGTCTGCAAATTCAGTAGGTTAGTAATGAGTATGAAGAAAGAATAGAAATGATAATGAATCAGACAGTGTAACAAATCACGCTTTTGGAAATACCAGCAAAATGGTGTCAATGATAAAATAAATCATGAATTGTTTCAGAATGTGGCAAAAATCTAAAATCTCATACCAAGTCACTCCGGATATAGCCCCTAGCCTCATGGTATGCAGTAAAAATTTTGTCGAAGACTGCTAGCTTTTTTTCAGCTGGAAGTGCATTTGCATCCTGACCATGCAAATCTTTCTCAAGCTCTTGAGCTGAAATATCATAAAAAACAGGCGAAAAGGAAATTCTTGAGGCCTGGACCGCACTGCAATATACTAAATAATGGAAGAGTGCTGCCATATCACACCATAAAGGACACATGACCCAGTAAGTTCGATCCAATAATTATAGATATAAACTATGAATCCTTCATGAAGAAAATTCTAGGAGCCGAATCCAACAGGGCATCAATTCTAATCAACAGCTCAGCCTGAATACTAGTGAACTTTATTTAACCGGCACATCTACATCAATAACCTTTAGCTCCAGACAGAAGCAAAGTGATATAGCTTACCCAACCTAAGTAGATGCACTGGCCTATTTCAGTCAACAAAATCAGAGACATAGAGAAAGACAGAATCGATAAGAATAGAGCCTTACGCCAATTGACATTGGAGTTATGGTCAACATTAGAGGAGAATCAAGGCATAGGATCATAATGAATCTTTCTAACAAACAGTGTGATTCAATAAATCAGTAATAGTTGAAGCCATTGACAACCTTTTAAAATGGCAACTCGAGTTTTTGCATTAGGTATGGGATATTTGTGCCCAAGCCATTGAAATTCAGTCAAGGATGCTGCCTGTTGAGACCTTGCCTCAGCCATAGCAGCCTGCAAGCGAGGAGAGTATCAATAAAAGAAGTATGCAATGACTGGAAAACATTAAGAATCATAAATACCCAGTTCCTATTACTGAGAAGGCAAACACAGTTCAAGCCCAATTCAGAACCGAGCATAGAATATTTCTGCCCCGCCAAAAATAGGAGAAATAAACTAAAATGTATTGGCTCATGACATACATGCTGCAATAGGAGTCCAGTAAAAAATATGCATTATGCTTAATCATATATAGCAGATAGCTCAATCATTTGACAGATTACAGACATATAGACGAATTATTTTATGACTATTAAAGTAAGCTACTTGTTTGGGAAATTGCATTTAGAAAGAAAGAAATGTTCATTTTCACTCACAAAACGGCTGTTCCTATCCTCCATGTGCATTATATATATGTTTTTTATTTGCATCGATTTCAGAATGAAGCATACAGTGAGGTTCACGTGCTTTCCAACTTTGCTGATTGTAAATAATCATCAATATTATTCTTTTGAAGAGAGAAAAGCAGAACTTAACCAGTCTTTATTTTGATCACAGATAACAAGCAGCACATCAAGCATGATTAAGCAGTTCATTACTAATATTCCGAATTCCCACCTCTAGCTTCGCCTTGAAGAGGTCCATGGCAGGGCCTTCCACCTCGCCAATTTGCAAGAGATCGGAGGTTTTCAGATTCGACTCCCCAATTTTATGGCGGCAGTACCGGATGCTAGGTTCCAGCTCCTCCAAACGCTCACGGCACAGGACTTGATTCTCCAAATCTCCGTATTTCCCCAGCTCTTCATAAACAGCTCTACAACAAATTAACAGACCGAAATTAAGCCTTGTACTTGAGCACAACCACTAGGAAGCGCAAGTCAGCTGAACAACGTAATATCTGTGAACCTGGCACTTAAGAAATTCTTCAGTGCAGTGTCCCAATTCCGGTCTTGTTCAAACAGTAAAGTCCCATTCATATAGGATGCATAGGCCTGCAAAGTAAGAGAAATATTAAAGAGAAATATTAATAGAGCTCAGACAGTCACAGATTACAAGAACCAAGAATGCTGGTGCCAGGTAACATGACAGATGGTTAAAATTGAATTCCAACTATGAGTACTTTGAAATGAGAGGAGAATGAATTGTATCTTAAAAGGGCACACTGTGTCCATGAACAAACTTGCAAACTCAGAAAATTACACAACTCATATTAACAGAAGACACAAACCTCGGCCTCTAAAGATGTCCTGGAATCTCCCTTGACAGCACATAGTCTGGAAAACTGATTAGCCCATTTCACTGCCTTTCTCAGCCTGCCAATCAAATAGATTCTCTGTCGTGCATTGGGGCCATCTGGGAGCTGTCGTTTCTCCATTGCATGACTCCATGCTCTTTCGGCACAATAAAGTACCACATGCAGAAACCTGTTTTCTTCCAGAAAAAAGAGGCCTATAAACTTGAAGGACTGAATAAACTCAGAATTCATTTCAATGTTTCCAAGAAATCCATGCCATTTTCATAAAACACAAACAAAAAGGAGCTCCGCTACTATGATCATAAGCATTGGTGCTTCCATTTACAAAAAGAAAAAACCCTTCATGGTACAAACTAAATTTGTAACTTTAATGTTATGGAAGTGACTTCATGGTTGTATGTGTATATGAATGGATGAATATTGATATGGGGACTTGGGTTTTTGTGGAATATGGCTTATCTAACATTTTTTTTTTCAACGTTTAATCTCGCCTAGGCAACGATTAATCGGCCTGGGCGCTGGGCGGTGCCTCCTCGCCTAGATAGCGCCCAACGTCTTCTTGAACATTATATGGAACAAATTCAATTCCTACCTATACCTTATCGTTCAAACTTGAGGCCATGAAGAAGTAAGTAGCTCAACCATACATACCTCACTTCAGTAACAGTTGCTTCGGTGATGGCTCTACGAGTGTATTTACCACGTCCATGAGTGAATTTCAGAGATTTGTACAACCTCCTCAATCGAGCAGAGCAATACCTTCTGCACTATAATGGGTCGGTTGATTCAGCAGAAGTATATATATATGGAGTGAACAAGGCATTAGAGAAGCAATGCACGAACCGATATCGAGTGTAATCTCCATGTCGCAGTCCATGCTGCATTTGTGCTGATTTGAGGAGCTGCAGAACTGACAATTGGAAAAATCTCAACCTTCAGTTCAATGGATGTCTTAGACCCCCTTGCTGAGTTCAGAGAACAGTTTCTTTGCAATATCTGAACAACATAATTACCGTTAATCGAATATCTAGGATTAATCTGATCGGAATCATTGGTTTTCGAGCCGTCGACTACCATCGCCGTCGCTTCGCTGTCCTTTCCCATCGCTCCTGCAAAATAAACCAAATAGTATTGAACTTCATTAACTGCGGGACGAGATCAACGAACAAACTGGCTTGCTCAGGATAATTCGCCGGAGAAACTAAACACCAGATGGGCGATTTGAGATTCATTCTTAGATGCAAAAAATTTTATAATCTTTCCATCGCCAGGATTTGGCATTCCAAGAAACCAAAATAGCCCATTATCTCAGTTATCGGAAAGCTACATCATTCTTACCTGCTATTGAACTCTCAATAGGCGGCGCTTCGCCGTCACGTTGAACTTGAACGTAATCCGCCGACCGCTACGGCTGCTGTCAGCGATGCGTCGTGAAATTGAGAACTCTGGTCTGCGCCTGTTTTATTTTTTTTTTTTTTTTTTTTTGGCTTTTGCACAATGCTTTTTAAGCTTCCTCGCCAAACCCCCTAAAATGAAATGTTTATTGACGTTAGTTTAGCCAATTAATTGGTGGGTTAATTCCCTAAATATTATCATTTTTATTTATCATAATGATTTAAAAATTATTTACAAGAATATTGTGGTTTTTGGTATGTTGAAAGCGCAAGCCTTAGACTCAGGCGCGATCGCTAGGTGTTGTTTTTCCAATAAAATTCAGCGGCGGCGTACGAGACGGGGGCTTGGGCACTTGAAAAAAAGCAAAAGCGGTGGCGCCCCAGAGTGAGGCTTTGTCGCTGCCTTCTTTTCTTCCACTACAGCACCATATATACTCCACCTTTCCTTCGGATCTTCACCACCAAAAAAACTTAAAGAAGTTTCGAAAGAAGCTCTGGTGTTGCTGTCTGGTTGCTGGGAAGATGGCTAATAATAGGTAAGAGACGTATTTTTTTTTAATGTATTCTTCATAATGATTTTGTCCAGTTAGTAATTAGTGAGTTTGTTTTTTTATGTAGTGATTTAGAAGATTTGAACTAGCTGTTCGGTGGAAATCAGAGAAAGTAGAGGACAATTTGGGTGTCCATTTCGTTGGTGGAGTGAGTTTTCAGATGAACATTCCATCCAGGGTGAACTATCAGAAACTTTGTGATAATCTAATTCAGAGAATACGGCGTAGAGACGAAACAGTACAAGATAGTGTTGTGATTACAGGTTTCACTTACTGTCTTCCAGAATGGCAGAATGGTGTTTTATTTCATTATGCAATGCCTATTGTCGATGATGATAACTTAAATGTGCTTTGGAATTTTATGGCACAAAATCCATATTGTTTGTGTGCTGAGATACATGTTGAGCTCAGTGAGGATCGGCGTGGAGATGAAGAAGATGACACATGGAGCATGCCATCCGATCATGACTATGATAACGGTGATGACGGAGAGGAGGAAGACGATGATGAGGAGGAGGAGGACGACGACGACGACGGGGAGGAAGGAGAACAACCTAATTATCCTCCATATTTTTACTTGCAGGGTAATGAAGAGGACGAGGAATTATCATATGCTGATTCATATGGCGTAATTCCAAGGCCTATTGTTGGTGGTTTTGATGGAGAATTCTACAAGGGGAAAATATTTCACTCGAAACAAGTTGCAGGTGGCGATTAAACACTATGCACTACAACGCAACTTTCAGTATAACGTTGTGGAGTCGTCACCTTCAATATGGAAGATCATATGTTTGATGCACAAGGAGGACAAATGTCCTTGGATGGTGCGGTTTGGATGTCGAGATGTGGGAGGCGATTGGAGCGTGAGAAAGGCCGAGTTGGTGCATACTTGTAGCAGTACGACTCAACCAAGGATCATCGCCATCTTGATGTCGACGTTATATCTGAGTCCGTGAAACACTTGGTACGTGCTCAACCAAATTTGAGTGTTCTAACTGTGCAGGCCGAGTTGAAAGATAAGTTTAATATGCAAGTTACTTACAAGAAGGCTTGGTATGGGAAACAAAGAGCATTGGAGAAGTTGCATGGAAATTGGGAAGAATCCTACGATTTTTTGCAAACATTCTTGCGGGTGGTCAAGAGAAAAAATGCCAACATCGGTGATTGATTGGGTAAGAGTTCCTTCGACTCAACCATGCCATTCGATATTTCAGCGAGTATTCTGGGCTTATGGACCTTGTATAGATGGATTCAAGAATTGTCCAGTCTTCATGGTTGTTGATGGAACATTTCTTACTGGGAAGTATAAAGGAGTGCTACTCATGGCGAGCTCATTTGATGGCCGGAAGAAGATTTTTCCAATTGCATTTGCCATAGTGGAGAGTGAGAATACTGATAGTTGGTCATGGTTCATAAGTCACGTTCAGGGTTTGACTGATCGAAATGATGTCTGCATCATCTCATATAGACATGCAGGACTCTATGAAGCCATGAATAACATCGGAAGAGGTTGGGAGTGGAGGTAGTGCATGCGACACTATGCAAGCAATTTGCAAAGGAAGACTAAAAGCAGAATTATATATAAGCAACTATTCCGAGTCGGTAAGCCTTCTTCATTTAATTTTGTTATTTATTTGCATGTAATTTTGTCATGAATTTATCTAACCCGTGTGGTTGTTTATTTTGTTAGCCGGAGAAAAATGCTTGGAGAAGTTCGATCGTCAAGTTGAGCAATTTAAGAAGGTGGTCACTGATAGAAATATTTCATGTGATAACTGGTTGGACCAACATCAAATTCGTTGGAGTTTAGCACATGATAACTACAATGGTGGGCGTCGTTGGTCTATCCTGACATCCAACATGGCAGAAAGCATCAATGGTGTTTTCAAAGGTATTCGTGCACTTCATATAGCTTCTCTTGTGCAACATACCTATTGGCGATTGGTGGAGAAATTCGATAAGATGAGGTTGGAGACAGGAGCAGAAATTAGAAGTGGTGCACAACAGTATTCCACCAAGTGCGAGGAGCTGATGAAGCCGTGGTCACAAAAGGCAGTTGTACAGGTAGAACTGATCTCCATGCTGACGGGTGTGGGCCGGAAGCCATCGAGGCCACGTGGCACTGCGTCCTGAGTAATCTGCGCACCCGTCTCCGCATGTAGTGGTGATGTATGAGAAAACCGCTCCCACGTCCAGATCATCAGCAAGGCGGACCATCCACCAAAGTCACCACCCAGTGAAGAAGATGTCGTCATCTGCAGCGCCGATCTACCCATCTCACGGTACAAGTAGGATAGCACAGCTGCTCCCCAAGCAAACCTCCCCGCTCTGCGCCAAACCTCCACAAAAAGTAGGTAGTGCAGGTGAACCGAACCTCCAGACTGATAAGAGAACAAGACACCTGCCATCAGAGACAGCGCATACGCTCGTGCAAACTGCTCTGTCGTTTGGGGTGATGCAGAAAGCGGTAGCTCATCGAAAGTCTCCCTGAGCCAAGCAATCCTAATGACGCCGCCGCCAAGATCAGTAGGAGCCCGTCCTAACAGTCGAAGACACATAGCCGACCAGTCCTCGTATGGTATGTCTACTACGACGGCATCATCGTCGATCGCTAGACCGGTCAGTGTCGCAACGCCCTCTAGGGTGATCGTCACCTCACCGAACGGCATGTGGAAGGTCGATGTCTCGGGTCGCCAACGCCCTACAAGCGCAGTAATCAAACCCGGATCATCGGTAAGAGAGGCTAGTGGCAGAACACTAGACAAGCCCGCATCGACGAGATACGGCAGGTAAAGTGGATGGTATCGCACTAAATTGGCCGTATGGCGAATGTGGTAAGATCGATCACCAGCCTATAATTAATGCACAAAACTTATATTAATTCAATTCACCTAATATTTATATTTATATATCTAAACCAAACTTATTCTAATACTACTCGTAATTTAATCTAATTATATTCGTAATTTAATTTAATTTTATTCTATTCTATTCAGCTAATAAAAAAACTATAGAAATAGTTTGAAAACTTACCTCGTTTGCCCAAACTGCGTCAATACGATGGTGACCATGCCCCCAAAGAAGTTCCGGATCCATCGGAGCTGTATCGATTGTCGTGGGTGGTGGTCTCATCGAACAAGGATCCATAAACCTAGGAACATAAAAAAAAATTTGCCGGCGGCGGCGATAATCCGGTCACCGCCACACTTACTCCTGTAGCGTTCGCCGCCGCCACGACGCCCTCTGCCCCTTCCTCTGTCGGGCGCCTGCTGCTCGTCGTCGGACATGGCGGGGAGAAGGGAGAATCATATCTGCGCTGCTGGGTCTTGCGACGGCACTCTGGGATTGGCGCCTTCGTCGGGTAGTGGGCGCGGCCGCCTGAGATTGAGGCGTGACCGTGTTTCTCTCGGCGTCGTCGCTGTAGGCGCTGGGTTGGAGGTGAGGGAGGGTCAGGGACTGGTGTGGTGTCTCAGACGGCGTCGCTGCCTTCCCCCCTTCAAAACACAATATTCCTGTAAATACTTTTAAATTCACTATATTGATGGTAAATAAAAAAAGACTATATTTAGGGAATTAACCCTTAAATGGTTCTATACAACCGGTTCATATCGGCTTAAGATAGGGTTAGTAATAACCTATAAGTAACTAAATCTAAACCTTTAAATCTAAGTAGGTCCAGAAAATTCAAATGTAAGAGTTGTCAATTAAAAGCATTTTATTTTCCCTAGTTTTTTTTAATCGGCTCTTCTCTTCTTCGTTCTAACTTGGATTTCAATTTTTTTTGCACAAATGAGACGAGTTCGTTGTGCTCTACAAAATGAAATCAATTTTCGATATATTTCGAGAAACCTTTTTTTACCAACTACATACCATATGGTAACTTCTTCGTTTTTAAGTTTTTTTTGAAAACGTTTGCTTAGAAGGAACGAGTTCATCATGATCTATTGGATCTACATATTTCTGGGTGAAAAAAATACTGGACGAAAAATTATCATACTTTACCAGTATGGTATGTGGGTGGTAACTTGTAGTAAACAATAGTGAAAGTTGTAAATGACAGTTACTATACTCCTACTATCATGTATTCAACCTTCTTACCATATTGGTATGTTCATACCATCATGGTACGTTTTCTTACCATATGGTATTAAATAGGAGCATACCATATGGTGATGACTGGTAAAAATTTATTCAATTTTTTTTGTACTAAAAATATATCAAAGTGGATATCATTTTAAAGAGCACAATTAATCTGATTTATCTGTGCAAAAAAAAATTTAAATTTCGACTTAAAACGAGAGAGAAATCGTCCGTTAAAGGTTAAAGGGGAAAAAATAAAAGACTTTCCAGAAGAGAGAGGGATACTCATGTCATGCTGATGTGGACGGGTTACTCATGGTTACTGACCTGATCCATTCCCGTTAACTGACCACAATTATTAACATCAAATTAATTTAATTATATATAAAATATATTTGAATATAACTTTACTTACATTCATATTCATATTTGAATATAACACAATATTCGAATTAAAATAACAAATAGTTATATTTAAATAT